TTATTTATTGTTTTGATTTTGTTATTATTTTTTATTTTATTTTAACCTTTTATCTCTTCCGTCGGATCGCGTAACTACTTAACTTACAAAGAACCTGAAACCAAGCTAGATAAAAGGCAGATTGTCCGAGATAAAAATGGTTATTGCGAAAGAATGATCTTAGCATCCCTTATCTCTTCTGTTGGACTGCATGACTACTTAGCTTACAAAGAACCTGAAACCAGGCTAGCTAAAAGGCAGACTGTCCGAGATAAGGGGTATTTATAGTGAAAAGATTTTTGAGATTTTGCTTTTTTATTTTTGTGTTGTATGATTATGTTATGCAACAATCAAATGCAACAAACAAATGTACAAACAATTCACTCATCCGCGAACAGAGCGATGTCGTTCAATTACGAGGTAGGGGTTTCCTGCAGAAAAGTGCATTAGCAAAGGTAGGTTCTAACTGTTCTCACCAAGGTGCCCCCATTATAGGGACCCTTCAATCTCTCAGTCTTTGAACCATGCACAGATCTCCGTGTCGATGTTCTTAGACCAAAAGAAGAAGGTTATCACTTTGAGTCGTGGTTTCCGATAACGACCTGCTGGTACTAAGGCCATTACCATGGTTGGTCGTACCTGCCATCTACTCCCTATGTGTATTCTCTCTTGCCCCCGGGTATAGAGGGATTGTTGTGTGCAAGGGTTTATGTACAATTTATTTCAAATAATTGCAGAAAATAAGCATACACCAATTATTAAATCCAAACAGTAAAACATGTTATAAAGCAAGAAAGGGTAAAAGCATAATTTCTAGTTTTTATTGCTTAAACTAGTCTATCACTAAATGGGATCAACTCTCTAGCTTCCCCAGCGGAGTTGCCATTTGTCGCTGCCGTCAAAAGAGGCAATCAGAGCGACGCGATGGTTTTTGATTGACTCGCATTTTTTGAAAGAAGTGGTTCAACTCCTTTAGGTTGTCCGATAACCGGGCTGGACCTAAAGATGAGGTTTTCGAAAAGGTTCGAGGAGTCACCATCAGTGTTTTAACCTTAAACACTGAAAAAGGTAAAAAAAGAAGAAGGCAGTGGTTTTAGAAAAAATCAACTTTGGCCATTACAACCAGAGTCGGGTAAGGGAGTTAGTTATGTCTGGGGAAGGTGTTAGCACCCCACAACGCCCCTTTCGGGTTCCCTATGATGGACTAGTTTAGAAAAATAAATACTTAAAGAAATTATGATTTTACCCTATTATTTAAAAATTTAAATGTCTACATTATCCTAATATCTAATGCATACAAGGAAAGTAGTAAAAGAAAGCAGTAAAAGATAAGAGATATGAAAAAGAACCTCTGAAGCGAGCTTTTATAAATCTTGAACTTGATGACACTTTTTGGCAGTCCCCGCAGTGTACAGAGTCACTCCTCCCTCGAACAAAAAATAAGAGTACCACCCTACCGAGGGCTGAATGTCTCAAAAGGAGGCTTCCTTAACCGATTTCTACCTTAAACGAAAATCGGAAAGCTTACTCGAACTCTGGAATAATGCTCAGAGTCACTCTAAAGTTCCAAAAGGCTTTCTAGAGAGTGGTAGGAGTGAAAAGGTGTGAATTTTCGAGGAATGGAGGCTCCTATTTATAGGGAACCGCACCAGGAAAAAGTGGACGGCCGTCCATGGCAAAAAGTGTCCATGGACGACCGTCCATGTAGTGTGGATGGTCGTCCATTGCCAAAAGTTGCCATGGAAGGTCGTCCAAGCTAAGTGGACGACCATCCATAGCCTTAAAGTTGGCATGGACGGTCGTCTGGCTGTCCTGGACGACCATTTGCTGTCTCCGACGGATTTTCTGATTTTTATTTCCTCTAAAAACCCTTCCTATCTTAAATGGAACCTAGAAAAAGCTACTAGGGACTTAATAAAGTCTTGGCCATCTTCGAAACGAGTGATCTTTGGCTTTATTGGGAGCCGGACAAGATTTGGGGTCTATAGATCTACATGAGGAGGTTTACATGCGTCTTCCACCTGGCTTCACTGCTCCTTCTTCCACTACTTCATCTTCCATAATGGTTTGCAAATTAAATAAGTCCCTCTATGGCTTCCGCCGGGCTAGCAGACAGTGGAATTCTAAACTCACCACTACTTTGCTTTCTTTTGGATTCACACAGAGCACGACATAACATTCTTTGTTCACTCTTTATCACAATCACTCCTTCACGACTCTCTTGGTTTATGTAGATGACATTGTCCTAACAAAAAATGATTTAACCTTTATTACCACTGTCAAACAATATCTTCATCAGCAATTTCACATCAAGGATCTTGGAGAACTTAAATATTTTTTAGGCTTTGAGGTGGCTCGTTCAAAATGTGGTCTGGTGTTGAATCAACGTAAATATTGTCTTGAGATTCTTTTAGAATTTGGTCTCACTGCCTGCAAGCCTGTTGATACTCCTGTAAGAATTAATGGTTGAGTTCAAGAGGGGGGTGAATTGAACTTTAGAAATCTTTTTCGAAAAACACTCTTTCTTTGTGGAAGAATGATTAATCTTTATCCAATCTTTTATTAGGCAGATTTGGTTTTAAACAAAGCAAGAATATAAACTAGAAATGAAAAGAGATAAAAGCAGAAATACAACACAAGAGTTTATACTGGTTCACTCTTCCCAAGAGCTACATCCAGTTCTTGACAAATCTACCAAGTTCCACTAATACCAAGTGAAAATACAAACCAGTAGATATACACCAATCTACCCCAAGAACTACCTTACAACACCACAAGATAGACTCTTGAAAAACCTCCCAGCAACCAAACCCAATTACTGTAACCAGTGCAGATTCAAACCCAATCTACACAATTAGAATTCGTACAAGTATATGAAAAGAATAAACCTGGACTGCAGCTTTTACAATATAGAAGTCCAGAAGCAATTTTTCTAACTTAGAACTTTTCTCTCTTGAAGATCTTTCAACAATCTTGATCAAAACGCCTTATGATATGAAAATGTTTATGAATGCTCAGATAAAGGCACAAGTATGAGAGCTCCAAGATTGCTTTCAATCATTTTCCAAATTGTATATTTGAAAGAGAAATCAAAACTGTATTTATAGAGTAAAAGAGAGGGACTGATAGATTCAATCGATTTAAAATGATGTTTCAATCAATTGATTTCATTTAAAACTCATTCAATCGGTTAATTCGAGCTTTCAATGGATTGAAACAGTTAGAAGAAAAATGGTAGCTCTCTGTTTCAACAGATTAAAATATATTTCAACAGATTGAAATTCTGTGATACCTTAAAATGAAAAATGATCTCTCTGTTTCAACAGATTAAAATTTATTTCAACAGATTGAAATTCTGAGATACTTTAAAATGAAAAATGACATCTCTCTGTTTCAACATATTGAACTTGATTTCAACATGATTAAAATTCGACATACTTTTGAAATGAAAAATGACTAAAACATTTTAATCTATTGATTTCTCAATTCAACAGATTAATACTGCGAACCCCTTAATATGGAAAAACCATCAAGAACATTTTAACCTGTTGATTCTACGATTCAGTCAATTAAAATTTTGGCTGTATATATACATTTCCTATTTTAAGTGATTTTAACAGATTAAAACTTCTTTTTAACAGATTGAAAAAATCAGTTTGTTCTTTTAATGCTTAAAGATTAGTTTTTCATGCAGTAAGATGAATTTTATGAAATGCAACAGTTATAGGCGCTTATCACAAGATCTACTGAAACTATCAAGAGATTAAATTCTAAACCTATAACCTATTTACCTACACACCCACAAAATAAACTCTATAAACTCTATATGTCTTCATCAAATCCAACAAGTGCTTCAACTCCTTCGAATCCCACTGTAAAGTTAAATGATGAAAGTGGTGATCTCCTTGATGATCCTACCAAATTTAGACTATTGATTGGTAAGTTGATCTATTTAACTAACACTAGTCCAAATATATCATTTGCGGTTCAACAAATTAGCTAATACATGTCTCGGCCAAGGGAGCCACACCTTCAAGCAGCTTTTTGGGTCTTGAGATATCTTAAAGGTGCTCCTGGACAGGGACTCTTCTATCGTGTTCTTAATCCCAATAGAGTCCACGCTTTTTCAGATTCTGATTGGGATGCTTGTAACACCACCAGAAAACCCGTGACAGAGTTTTGTGTTTTCTATGGCAATTGTCTTATATCATGGAAGTAAAAAAAGCAAACTACCATTCTACAGAGGTTGAATATCGAGCCTTAACATCTATAGCTTGTGAAGTTCAATGGTTAAAGTACATAACTGATGATTTAGCTTTAAAAATTCCAAAGTCTTCTACTGTTTTCAGTGATAATCTTTCTACTATTCAACTTACCAAAATTTCATCATTATTAAATTTTATTATGTTACCTTTTTATTTTTTATTTTTTTCTCTCTTTTATGTGTCTGCCATACACTTTGTATATATATAGACCCTTATTCTGAATAATAAAGTTAATCTTCTTTCCTGTTATGTTATATTCCTAATATTATTTCATTTACTCAAAGATTAAATTAAAAATTTTATACATTAAAATAACTTAAGCTATTTATTTTAATATAACTTTAATATTATTACTAACTTTTTCAGGAAAATAATAGTGTAGGTGTACACTTTCTCTCATCTTCACTTACAATTTTTTTTTCCAATTTATTATTATATTTATCCGAGATTCTCCACTTTTTTTTATATGAAAAATACAAGTGCAAGATACAAAATAGGATCACTGTGTAGCATTGATATTGCAAGACTATAATCATTACAACTTTATTACCCTGGTCTCACTTTTTCTTTGTCAATCACCTTGTCGATTTGTGTTTGATTCCCTGGTTTCACAACTCAGAAAAAAATGTATCTTGAACATGTAAACAGAGCAAATTTACATCAACTTCCATTTTTTATATGTCCCGTGAGAATAGAGGCTTTGGATCAAAGTTCTTTGTGAGCTAGCTTCCTCACTTGGGCACTCGCAGATTTCACATGGACAAACCAGCTTACATTGCAGTTATTCCCAGTGCAGGATTCAGCCATTTTGCTCCCATTCTTCATTTCTCAAAGCGACTTGTTGAGTTCCATCCACATTTTCATGTCACATGCCTTGTTCCCTCCATTGGCTCTCTCCCAACTAACTCAAAAGCCATCCTCCACACTCTTCCACCAAACATCAACCCCATTCTTCTTCCACCGTTCAACCTCAACCACCTTCCACAAGGGCTTTCCGTAGTGCTCCAAATCCAACGCGCTATGCGTCTCATGATGCCATCTATCCATCAAATCCTAAAGTCCATAACTTCAAACAACCCCCACGTGGCCATGGTTGTTGATTCTTTTGCCTGTGGTGCACTAGATTTTGCTCACGAATTCAACATGTTATCCTACGTTTACTTCCCCTCCTCAGCTACCACACTCTCCACGCACTTCTATTTGCCTAAGTTGGACGAGGAAACATCGTGTGAGTATAGAGATCTACCGTGCCCTATTGAAGTACCTGGTTGTGTTCCATTTCATGGCAGGGATCTCTATATACAAGCCCAGGATCGAAAGAGAGAACTTTACAAAGTGTCACTCGAACGTTATAGACGATTCCTTTCTGTTGATGGGATCATCATGAATAGCTTCTTGGCATTGGAAACGGGTCCTCTTAGAGCATTGAAAGATGAGGGAAGAGCATACCCTCCTGTGTATCCTATTGGACCAATTGTCAAAACTGGGACAGATTCTGCACAAGGGTTGGAATGTCTAACGTGGTTGGACAAACAACAAGTTGGTTCTGTTTTGTATGTTTCTTTTGGAAGTGGTGGAACACTGTCACAAGAACAAATGAATGAGCTGGCTTGTGGTTTGGAGTTGAGCAATCATAAGTTCTTATGGGTTGTTAGAGCACCCAATAATGCAGAAAATTCTCTTTACCTTAGTGAACAAAAGTGTGTTGACCCTGTACAGTTTTTACTAAGTGGGTTCTTGGAGAGAACCAAAGAGCAAGGTGTGGTTATTCCTTCATGGTGTAGGTTTACTGAATAAAACGAATGGAAAAGAATAAAATAAATGGGAAAAATGGAGAGAATGAATATGAAATTAAATCAATCGTTATTCAGCTTGTATTTAGAATGCTAGTTCAAAATACATTTATAACACTGCAATAACGTAAAATGTAGAAAAAAACTAATTTGAGATATTCTCTCCTAAAATCTAGGCATATTTACTTTGACTAGAAACCCTTATTCAACAACAAAAACTGAAAAATAAAACAAATAAAAATATCATGTGCAGTCATGTGCAGTCTAAAAATCAAATATCTAACACTCCTCCTTGGTTTTAGAACTGCAAACTCCAATCTTCTGCCTTAGAAATTCAAACTTGTTGAGTGGAAGTGGTTTAGTAAACAGATCAGCAACCTGGTTTTCAGTTTTGCAATAAATTGGAACAACAACTCCATCCTTTTGTACCTCCCTTAAGAAGAACAACTTAATGTTAAAATGTTTAGTCTTTCCATGAAAAACATGATTGTGAGAAATGACTATTGCAGCTTGGTTATCAACAAAAACTTCTGTACTTTCCTTCTGCTCCATGTTAAGATCAATTAGAATTTTCTTTAACCACAAGACTTGGTTAACAGTAGCTGCGGCAGCAATAAATTCAGCTTCTGCTGTAGATTGTGCAACAATTTCTTGTTTCTTTGAACTCCAAGAGAAAACACCAGATCCAAAACTAAAATAGTACCCTGAGGTACTCCTCATATCATCAATTGAGCCACCCCAATCGCTATCTGAGAAACCTTTCAGTTTGAATTCTTCAGTTCTCTTAAACTTGATGCCAAAATTGTAAGTTCCTTTGATATATCTAATAACCCTTTTTGCAGCCTTGAGATGCATTTCACTTGGGCAATGCATAAACCTAGATAAAATACTTACAGCATTTAAGATGTCAGACCTAGTTGTTGTAAGGTACATCAAACATCCAATTATGCTTCTAAAAAATGCTTGGTCTATCTTCTCAGTTCCATCTTCCTTGCATAGTTTTTCCTTTTGATTCATTGGAGTGCTCATTTCTTTGCATTCTTCAAGTTTGAACTTCTTCAGAATTTCCTTGGCATATTTTTCTTGAGAAATGAAGATTTCATGTTCTCTTTGTTTGATCTCAATGCCAAGGAAGAATGTTGCATTCTGATTAAGCTCAAGATTTCATGTTCTCTTTCTTTGCATTCTTTATTAAGCTCATGTTGCATTTTATTTTGCAGGTGACTTGAGTTCGCGTTATATTGGGAAATAATATTCTGATTTTGTAAGGTAATAATTTATCAGATCTAAATTTTTCTATATATATTACGCTTGTGTTCTGCAACGGTCATACTCAAAGAATGTATTTTATTAATATAATTTATATATATTTAATGTACTTTTTCATTAATTATTATTTTTTAAGAATGACAAATTAAAGAAATTATAAAAGCTCTAATTTGAGGAAATCGTTTAGTATCTATAGTTTATTCTCAAGATCGGGCCATCCGCTAAGAGGACGCATAAACCGATGAGCGAATGTGTCGAACCTCGTATAATTAACTTGTAGACCCTAAATCTTGCCCGGTCTCATAATAAGACCAGAAGACCTCCTATTCGAAGATGGATGAAGCCTAAGAAGCCACTAGGAGAGACTATTAGGCCCCGCACTAGGATAGGAAGGATTTTTTGTATTAAAATAAGGGTTTTTGCCTTTTAGGGTCGAGACCGCCGTCTCGCTTCTCGGGACCACCGTCTCGCCACTTCTGCAAGTTGAGACCGCCGTCTCGTTTGGTGAGACGACCGTCTCACCACTTGCAAATGGCGAGACCCCCCTCCCGGTTGGCGAGAAGGCCTTCTCGTTTCTGGAAAAGTCGATACCACCGTCTCGCCAAACGAGACGGCGGTCTCACCACTTTTGCAAGGCGAGACGACCGTCCCGAATGGCGAGACGGCCGTCTCGACCTTGTCAGACGATACGGCTGTCTCGACCTGACAGACGCGAATCCTTATAAATAGTCGCGCCTTCACCCTTATTTCACACACTTCTTCCACTTTCCCTCTTGCAACTTCTTCAAATTCTCTTCCTAGCACCCCTCCGAAGCATTTCCGGAGTTTCTGAGAGTTTCTTAGAGATTTATAGCGTTTCTGAGAGTTTTTCCGGCATTGTAAAGAGTGAAGGGCTGCCAAAACGTACCCTAATTATCAAGGAATTAATTAAAGAGCTCGCTTTGGATGTTTCTTCATTCTCCCTCTCTCTCTTACTGCTTTATTTCCATGATTAAATTGCATGATACACATTAGGGTCATGTAGTCGTTATTTTAATTTCGTTAATAAAAGGGTAAAAGCGTATTTTCACAAAGTTTATTTATTAAGTAGCTGGCCTATCATAGGGAACCCAAAAGGGGCGTCGTAAGGGAACTAACACTTCCCTTACACGTAACTAACTCCCTTACCTAAACTCTGGTTTTAACGATCAAAGTTGGTTTTTCGAAAATCAACGCCTTTTTACTGCTTTTTCGATGTTTCTGGTAAAAACATCAGTGGCGACTCCATAAGAACCCTTCAAAATTAGTTCTTGGGTTAGCCCGGTTATCGGACAATCCAAGAATGCCCTTTCGAAAACCTCGCCTCTAGGTTCAGTCCGGTTATCGGACAACCTAAAGACATTGTAACCACACCCATAAAAATGCAAAAATTGGATAGTCGGAACCATCACGTTTCTCCGACCGCCTCGTTTTGGTGGCGGCGACATAACTTAACAACAATTCTGATTAGTTCATAAGGAATCACTGAGCAAATTTACTCATTTCCGTAAAAAGTTATTTGAGTTCTATTATGTAGTTATAGGTCTTGAATGAGTCTTGTTCGCTTCGTACACTATTATTGTTGTATAAATAGATTTTAGAAGGTCGGAAAATATAAGTTAAGTTTCATTTTCTAATTTTTAAGTTTTAGATTCTAAATTATTTGTAGTTTTTCTCTCTTTGTGATGCTTAACTTCCAAGTTTGTTTGTGGAGCTTCTTATATGAATGATGCTTTGAAGATTATTAATTCAAGTTGCTTTTGATTAGATTTATTTTGTTTATTTTTACTTCTTCTTTTTAATTTTCATTTTCATCATATTCTTCTACTTTCACATTATTTTCTTTACTATTTTCTTGTTTTTTCTAGCTTTCCACTTCTAAATCATGTTCTAATTTGTTTTTGTTGTTGATTCATCGATTAAAACTTGTGTTCTATGGTTTAGATTTGGTACTTAATGATTCTAGCTGATTATAATCCATTATTTGATTGGATGTCTCATTTGCAACATAACTCAATTTCTAAATTGAAGTGATTGTTTGATTTATGAATTGAATTGTGTTTACGAATTTCAATTGGATCATAATTGTTTGAAATTGTTGTGGATTTGCTTTTGTGATTGCAAGACAAATTCAATAAATCAATAATAACAATAAAAATAAGTTTATAATGAGAGAATCAACGTAATGTTTCTATTGAATTTCTTTACTATTCTTAATTTATTTCACTTCAATTGTCAATTTCAATTATGTTATTTACTTTCAACTTTTAGTTTAGATTGTTTCTTTAAGTTCTTTATAGATTTTTAGACGTATATTTAATCTAATTCTTTACTGCTTTTCATTTACAACTTTTCATAGAATAGTTTTACAAGCTTTCATTTACTTTTCAATGCATCTACGATTTCCTTGTATTGCTTTCTTTTATTGTTGTAATAGTTTAGATTTAATGCTTTCATTTACATGTTTTTGTTTACTATTTTTAATAGATTAGTTTACTGCTTATTAGTTTATTGTTTTGCATATACTTTTCTTGCATTAAAATCCAAAAATTCCCCTAAATCCTAGTATTTTACATTTGAAAATCAAGGTTTAAATAACATTGACTAATTCTCCTTGAGGACATGACCTAGGCTAGCCCTAGCACTGCATTATTTTCCTTGTAAATTCTTTGATGAAATCTAGCCAACAAGATTCTGGTCATCAAAATGACGTTCTTGCTGGGAGAAATTGGTGATTATTTTGTTTTAAATCTCAATTTTCTTTTGTTAAAGGTTAGTGTACAAAATTTTTTTGTATTTGTATTTCAATAGTTTGTGTTATTTGAGTTAAAATTTTGAAAAACCTTAAAATTTTTACTATGTTTTGTTATTTCACTCAACAATTTGTGTTTAGCTGAGCAAATTTTGTGTTTTTGTTCAATTGTTTGAGCATTGTCAAAATTTTACTCAGTGGTTTTAAATTCGCTTAGCGGATTTCTGCAGTGTAATTGTTTTTGAAACTATCCATTTTTTGCTTAGTGGTTGAGTTTTTTGCTAAGCATTTTGTTCAATTTTAAAATTTTTGTTGTGTTCATTACATTCACCTAGCGAGGATTTGTTTGCTCAATAGATTGTTTGCTTTTAGTTCAGTTTGTCACTGGAACAATTTCTTTCTTAATTAGTCATGAGCCAAATTTAAGCCTACCTTATAATTATTAACCTTTGTGAGTCACTTTGAGCTTTATATTCCCATTTTTTTTTGTTTAATTAAGCCACATTACAAGCCAAAGAAAGTGAAAATCCATATTTAGCTCCTGAACTTTTAATTTTTGAGAACTTTTGGAATTTGATAATGAATGATTTTAAATAATTAAAAACATATACAAAATGTATGTTAATCTGTTGCAAATTTGCTTAGTGCAAAACAAATTCTCTAAGTCATTTATCAATTCTAAATTATTGGAAAAATGAAAAATCTGATAATATTATTTTCCTTTAGTGCACACAAATCTGCTCATCGAGTGAAAAAGAAAAAAAGAGTGAGAGAAAAGAAAAAAAAAAGAAAAAGAAAAAGTGAGAATAATATTATTATTCTCTATGATTCTTTTGTGTGCTTACTTTTCAATTTACCTTAGTTTCTTGATTGTCTTGATTGAAATTTTTAAAGTTTTTCTCAAATTTTACTTTAATCATTTGATTGTGATTCTTTCTAAATTGAGTTTTTCTTGCATTTTTACT